CATAGTAAGCCTACAATAATTCATCGAATGAAGTGAAACCCTATCTGTAATTTCTATGTTCAACTTATTTGATCATGAAACAGGAAAACTATAGATGTTTTTTCTGGAGTATTTAAAAACGACAATTCCTTATAAAGAATTGTTATTTTATTCAGATGACTCATGCTTAGGACTTCTGTCCCTTAGAAATCATCCATTTTTGCACAATGGGTATTATTTGTAAGGAAAATGAAGGGCAGACTACACTTCAGGATCCTGAGTGACAATATGACCACTGATACATTATTGTAGAGAAAATCAGATATCCTATATACATTCAATTGTATGTCGTTAATGGCAATCCACTACATATGTCTAAAATCACTTAACAATGCAAGAATATAGTGTACACATGGGCTGCATTCTGTAAGTAGGATTAACTATTGAATTCAACCAAGGTCTTCCCTGGGGATAGATTGCTGGAAAATACATCTACATGACATTTAAAAAAATAAATTAACCAATGACATCGGCTCCCATGAGACACATTGTTTCTTGTACATTCAATTCTATCACAGTTTTCTGTAGCTCTCTGCTAACATTCCCATCCCAAATGACATAGAATTTCAAAAGATAAAGAAAAACAGAGCAATTGGAGCTATTCCATCTCTCCTGCATGAAGTGTTATGTACACAAAGGCAAGATTTCTGTACATGAGCACAATGTGAACCATGACATGGTGAGATCGTGTCAGTATGCGGCTGTTCTTGTTATGCTGTGGTCACATATAACTTGCCCAAGGGAGTGTACAAAGCCTGTTTTCTTACTGACAAGGACCAGCAGGGATTGTTGGAAAATAAAGAGAACAGAGTGATGGCAGGAGGTTTTAAATTTGCTCTTTAAAAAATGCTCTTTATTATGATAACTTTTCTTCTTGTTTTGACGTATTTAGTTTTCCTCATCTGTAAAATAGGAATAACTATTTGATGTTTAATATTTCTGCCCTGAGAGTTAAATACCAGTAAATTGCCTGGCATACAATTACTAATCCATACAGTCCACATCAACATTGGTTAACATTAATTAAATACCTATTATGTGCCTGGCACTGGTCAAAGACCCCCCCAAAAAAAGTAAATCATAGAAGGAAAAACTGACACTAGAGGGGCAAGCTGGGAGCTGATTTTCAAAGCTTTTATCACCCAGTCTGAGAATCTTGGATATTATCCTGAAGACTATGGACAGGCTTTGAACTCTTTTATATAGAGGCCAGATAGCTTCAGATTTGTGATTTACAAAAACCATTCTGTCAGCATTGGTAAAGAGTGGACTAGAAGGGAAGCAGGCTGGAGGCAGCAGTAATCCAGGAAGCTATGCAAGTCTGTTAGGAGGTGGAAGGTATGCCTCAAACTAAGACAATGGAGGACGCTGGGAAAACATGTTAAAATAACTTTTTCTTACTTTTTTTTTTTGAGATAGAGTCTTACTCTGTCACCCAGGTTGGAGTGCAGTGGTGTGATCTCAGCTCACTGCAACCTCTGCTGCACACACCACCAATGCCCAGCTAATTTTTGTATTTTTAGTAGAGACAGCATTTCCCCATGTTGGCCAGGCGGGTCTCAAACTCCTGACTTGAGGTGATCTGCCTGCTTTGGCCTCCCAAAGTGCTGGGATTACAGGTTGAAGTCACTGTGCCTGACCAAAATAGCTTTTTAAAAATTAACAAATGCATTGTAGATTAGAAAATAAAAATATGCAAAAGGTTAAAAGTAGAAGTCATACACAATCATACCACTTGTAGCAAACCCCTATTAATATTTTTGTGTGTGTTTAACATTACAGGATTTTTCCTATATATGTCTACACAGATGTGTGTGTTTGTATATGTGATATGTGTATGTTTTTAAACTGGGATCTGTCACTCTATAGTGAGAGTTTTATGATGTGAATTTTTCCTTAGCATATCAAAAACAATTTTCCACATCATTAAATATTGTTTGGTAAAATCAACTTTAAGACTACTTAGTAATCCTTTCTATAAATGTACCACAACTGATTTCATTCAAACCCCTAGTATTGTGCATTTAAGATGCTCTTTTTTTTGTTTTTGCTATTAGTATAAACAACTCTGGGACAGATGTCCTGAGTATTAAATTTTCACAACATCATGATTGTTTCCTCAGCATAGAGCCCTAGAAGTTGAAGTGGTAGGTTAAAAGCTATATTCCATTAAGGTTTCTGATACATATTGACAAATTGCTCTCCAGAACAGCCGTATCAACTAGCAGAGTCTATGAGTAGGAGGAGATGCATCTGCGAGTGATGTCAAGAATGAAGTGCACTGGACTTGGGTAGGTAGAAGGAGGAATGTTTCCTGGAAAAGTATCAGGGTGGGAGGAAAGTGAACTCTGTCAAGAGAAGCAAAGCAATGGGCTAAGGAACAGGTGTCTGGACAGGTAAATGATGAGAAAGAAAAAGGTAAGATAAACAGGGGACAGTGAAGGAAAGAGAAAAAATAGGTCTTTAGTGAAATTATGGGCACTTTAATTTACTGCTTTCTTCAGCAAAAGTAGCAAATGTAGCAAACAGCTAGTCTTTTCATAGCATTTGGCACTCTGTGCTACCAAAGTCCCCAGTTTTATTCATGCAAATCTGTTTATCAATTATTTTAACCCAGTAACCATTTATTAGGTGACTACTATGTGTCAAGTCTGTTCTGGATGCTATGGGTATGGGGATGAATGAAACCTGGTCTCTGCCCTCAAGGAGCTCGCAGTCTAGTGGGAAGCACAGAAATATCCACAGACCGACATACTACAGTGTGGTACAGGCTAGGACAGAGGTTAAGTGCAGAGTCTTATGGAAGCCAGAGCCTAACATTGCTTTCTGCGTGCATTCATGTAGGTTGGGTAGGGGTTGTTGAGAAGGCTTTGCAGAGGTGTTAACATATGAGCTGAGTCTTAAAAGCTGAGGAGTTTCTTGGATGCCTAAGGGCCACAGATCGTACTCATATTCCTAATCAGTGCCTTGAATATTTGTGCTACTGCTCTCAAGGACACTTAGTACGGTGGGAAGGATGTTGTGTATCATCCAAATCCACACTTGAGTGGTAACTATAGCTTCCACTGTCATCTTGATGAACACAGAAATGTAGCATGTTTTGGCAATATTATTGCTCACCACAGAATATAAAGGACAAGAGGCAAGCAGGGCATGCAGACTTTTTAAACAATTCTGGTAACACTGACATAATAATATTAACATCCGCCAAGTCCTAATAATTTTACCTCCTAAATGTTTCTTGAATCTGTTCCCTCCTGGTCTTTATTGTCTCTCTGTGGAAAAGAGTAGCAGCCTCCAGTCATGTCCACCTTCACTGTATCCTTCCTGTCATTGTCCTTAAAGTAAAAATCTGATCGTGGTTCTCTAAAGCTTGTTAATAGTTTCTTATGGCCTGCAAGCAGCATTTCTCACATACTCAGTCATTTGAGTATTACTTAGTGATTTTTACCATATTCACAATAATAGTACATATTACCATGTAATAGAATTCCTTAATATTTGTCTTTAAATCAGCTGAAAACTGGATCACTTTCTATTTTTATCAAGTAAAATCGAAAGTAGCCTTAGATGTGATGACTTAGTTCAGTTTTATGCTTTATAAGACATATTTGAATATGTAACTAGTAAAATTAAAATATTTGTGGGAGCACAATGTAACTACCAGTGGTAGATGCCCTACGTTTTGAGAACCACTGACCTATAAGGGCACATTCCAACTTAGCACTGCAATCAAGGTTCTTCACAACTCAGCCTCAACCTATCTTTCCAGACTCTTCTCCTACCTATTATACCTTCCTTTTCCTAAATAATCTGCACTCCAGCCATGCTGAAGTCTTCCACATTGAATGATCATGTCCTACCCTTATGCAGCCACACATCTTTCACAGACTGACTCCTCTATCTGGAATGCTTCCCCTCCACTCCTTCTCTGCCTGGGGCAAACTCACTACCCTTCAAAACCTATCTGTCATGTCACCTCCTCCTCGTGGAAGCCTTCTCCCTGAGTTTCCCTTACAGTGAGTCACACCTCCCTTTATCACTCCATAGCACTTTGTACTCGTCTCCGTTGTACTACACACTACCAGTATCTCAGAACTGTGGGCATCTAGCTCCCCAACTAGACCCCAGGAAGAGTTCACACCTTGTACTTCATTGTTTCCCCAATACTTCATGTGGGCAGAAGTCATGAAAGAGATCTAGGGTCCAAGGTAACTTTTTGAAAAGGCTAAAATAAAATAAATCCAAAGTACTCTCAGGTCCAAATAGCTTAGAGGTATGATATGTTTTATAAAGAAAATCATCTAATTCAGAAATAGCCATACTGACTATAGTTTTGGCAGACACAATTAGCTACAGTGGCAATGGCAGTTAAGCTAATTTGGTTTTGGCAGCTACTTTACAGAAAACACATTCTGACACAGAAATCTGAAGTGAATCATTTGGTTTTTGGCCAGGATGATCAACTATACCTCACAATAATCTCTCCTTACCACAACTGGAAAGTCAAGAACAAAAATGAACATTGGGAGTAGCAAACCAAGTTGAACAGAGCATGAGCTCTGGAGTCAGAAATCCGTACACTCAAACCTCAACCCAACTTATAATCGATGTAACTTTAAGTGGATTGTTTAACTTCTGGGCATTTTGGTCTTTTCTTCCAGAAAAAGACAGGAATAGTACCTACTTCATAACACTCTTAAGATAATGCAATGAAGTATTTATGATGATGACTAGGACATTATGTGGGTTCAATAAATAGCAGTCATTATTGTCACCCAATGAGATGACTACAATTCAGATAATGTGATGCACAGGGATAGCAAATGCATTTCTTAAGAATAAATTGATGTCTCTAGGCTTTAAAATTGACAGCTATAGACTGTAGCTAGGAATAGCTACAAACAAAACATCTGCAAGACAAGGTTCTTCTTGGATTTAAACTCACACCTGGAACATACCATCACACTTCTTTGTGTTCTCCAAGAATTGATCTCAAATCAGGTTCCCTAGGATGAAAAGAAAAATCATCCAATCTTAATTTTTGCCTTCATTTTTATTTGATACAGAATAATATCCAAAATATGTGTATGTTTCAAAGTATCATGTTATTATGACCCCAAGCTTCCCCACCCTATGTATTTCCTGCTTACATCTTTTATTCCAATGAGGCAAGCCCAGCTGTCTCAAAGTGCTCCCTCTTCTGCCCACCCTTCTCAAACTCCAATCTCAGTACCAGGAAGCATTTTCTCTCTCCCTCCTCTTTGACCACTTCAAATCCCCTGTACTCCGCTGGAGCCCAAATTAAAATCCACCTCCTTCACAAAGCCTGAAAGCTGGATGTGGGCTTCAGCACTTCCTGGATTAGACTTGAACTTCCATAGATTAACTCACCATCCCTATCAGTATGCTTTTCCACTAACCCCTTTAGCATTTTTTTGCACGCGTTTGTAATAATACAATGATTAATACAGTCTGTTTCACACGATCTCCTTTATTCTGTAGTTGGTGTGCCCCCTAAATGTTTGTCAACATTAGTGCTATCAGTCTTTGCTGGAAACCCCTAAAGCACTGTGTTTTTACAACCAGTCGAACTTGCCTTTTACTCTCACCAGAACCCTATACTGAACCTTAAACACTCATTTCTCAAAAGCAAGATTCCTTCCCTCTTTTGCTTCCCATCCCTTCTAGAAATTGAGGAGAAACCCTTCTCACTCCAAAGACGTGGTGGGATAAGTGGCAGGTGGCTGAGGAGCCGGTAGAGATGGCGATCAATTAAGGAGGCAAAAAGAGAAAGTTTGAAAAAACAGTCACGCCCTAGGCGTGGCAAGGAATTTTCACGCCCCGGAGGAAATGGGGAGTGTAGCGTAGGGAGGGTTGTGTGTCCAAACCTGAAATACAAATTGAGGGAAAAGAGGAGAGAGATCACCCAACTCCTGCAGTATGAATTAGAGTCCACATACCACCTAGGCAAAACCCTGGACGAACCCTAACTTCAGACCTCTGAGTAGGCGCAGCCGGGCGGCGTTGTGAAAGAAAAAGAGCGGGCGAGTTGGACCGAAAAAAAAAAAAAAAAAAAAGAGCAAAGAAAGCGCGCTCCCAGGCTCAAGGGAACAGGCGCCTAGAGCTCTGAAGCCCACCTCCGACTCCCACTCCCGACACCCCCTCCCCGGCAGAGGCGGAGCTGGGCGGAGTTAGGCGCTGAGGACCGCGGCCCCGGAAGCACCCTCCTCCCTAGGCCCCCTCAGTCCCACAGTCCCCAGCCAAGGCCACTCGGGCTTTCTGCCTCTCTGACCTCCAGCTCCCCGGCTACCGAAGCGCTAGTCCTTATACAGCCGCGGAAAATCGGGCCGACGCGGCAGCTCCTGGGCGCGTAGTGCCCTCGCGGGGCGCCACGCCGCGCCACTCTCTTCCGAAATGCTCGCCTCGCGCTACCAGGCCTAGGCCCAGCACTCCAGCCCAAGGCTGGACTCTCACCCACCCGGTGCCCACTGCGGCGTCTCCTATTGGCTACTAGTCACCAGGGAAGCCGGAGGCCCGAGCCCATGGCTTCATGGGAAATGTATTTTGAGGTCGCTGGAGGCTGTTCTTCCTGGAGGGAATCCCACGTTGACATTGGCGGAGAGACTCAAGTGACGACCGAGGATTGTGGGAGATGGAGTCGCGGCACTTATTTCTCTATACGCACAATTCTTCCCCGCGTTCAGACCGGAAGGGTATTCTGGGTATTGTAGTTTGGAGTGCACTGTCTTAGCGAATCAGTCTTGGGGTTATGGCTTTGTGTTTGTAGGGACAGACGAAGGCTCTAGATTTATTTTCATGTCGGCTAAGCTTTAGCATTTTGCAGGAAGCACTTTCTATCGTGATTTGAAATTGTTACTGAGTTTTAAGTGTTCTTCAAAAGATGATGTTTATTATTCGATAAACTTAGAATTTTAATTGAGAGTTACAGTCCGTTAAAATTGTTACAAGTGTGTTCTGTGTGAACCACCTGCATCAAAATCACTTGAAAGGCATGGAAGAATGTATATACTTTTTCTAATTGGGAATTATATGTTTTCCCTAGAAACCGTGTCATAAATAGGCATGGAAATGTGATCTAGACCAGCCCAGAAGAAGAAGCCTATTTAATCCATAATGAAGGCTATGTTGTTGCCATGAAAAACATAACTGCTATAATGCCACATAAACTGCTATAATAAACAGTTTAGAAGAGATAAACAATACAACTTGAGTAAAAACAAGTAACTATATGTCTTTAAGAAACTTTATCATTTGAGTAAAAATATGTTACAAGAGCTGGATAAAGACAGGTGGGAAATGCCAAGCACTTTCAAGTGATTTAAAAATTGAGGAAAATGGTTGTTTATTAGGGCGAATTTCACTACTAACTTTTGACCTTTTTTTTCTCTCTGTTACAGATGAATTCTTATAGCTTGATGGATCGTTATGGTTGAATTACTGCAACTTTCCTGATAAGGACAACTTTTGGACTCATGAATAAAATGAAGGGAAAGACAGAGGAATTGCATTTTGCTAAGGTAATTGCCTAAGATTTTAAAAAGATAAGTGAAGGAGGAAGACGATTTTATAGATTTGTGCATACAGCTTTGTGCAAGGCTCTGGGCTAGGCAGTGTTGCCACAGAATTAGAAAAATAGTCAGGTAGCTCACAATCTAGGTGAGGGGAGTTGTAGGGGAGGAGAATCTGGGGGGAGGAATAGATGAGTATACAATGTGCAAAATGCTCTAAAGAAGTCTGCATAGGCTTCTACAGGATCATAGAGGAGGAAGAACTCATTCTACTTCTGGAGAACTGGTTGAAGAACCAGTAAAATATTTGTCAGATTTGGGGCAGGGTGGTCAACCATATTCTATACAAAGCATGTGCAAAGGCATAAAGGCATAAAAAAGTACAGAGAACAACAACAAAAGTTCCATATTGCAAACACTAGATCAGGCAGCAACAGGGAGTCATATCAATTAGTTCAGAATTTAATTTGAAAGTGGGAGAGAACAATCAGAGGAGTTTTTGTGCTTATATAGTGTTTATTTTTTAAAGCATATACACAGAACATACTGTGAACACATATGCTGGGATATTATAGGGAATCATTCTGGAGGGTGGTAATTGCTAAATTATGTTTAACAATTTTTATAGTTTTAAATTCCCCCAGGAAAATAATTTGATTTTTTTAAAAGAAAAACTGATTGGGTGCAGGGACTCATGCCCTTACGTAACCCTAGCACTTTGGAACACCAAGTTGGTAGGATTGCCCAGGAGTTTGAGACCAGCTTGGGCAACATAATGAGACCTTGTCTCTATGAAAAATCAGGAAAATTAGCCAGACATGGTAGGGCATGCCTGTAGTCCCAGCTACTCAGGAAGCTGAAGCAGAAGAATCCCTTGAACTCAGGAATTTAGGGCTGCAGTGAGCCGTTATCATACCACTACACTCAAACCTGGGTGACAGAGTGAGATCCCCTGTCTCTCAAAAAAAAAAAAAAAAAAGAAAGAAAGAAAAAAAAGAAAGAAAGAAAGAAAAAAGAAAAGAAAAGAGAAAAATATCACCTCATTTCAGCCATAAAAAGACTGAGACAAGGCATTTTTAGTATTATGGCCACCAGAAAAACATTTTGTGAATCAAATGCAGAAGTTCTTTTCTCAGCTTTGTCTCCTTTCTTTTTATCTTTTTTCCTTGACTGTTTACTTTCATTCGATCATTGATTTCAAAGTATTTGCAGAGCATCTACTATGTTCTGTACACTGTGCCAGGTTTTGGGTTTTAATGGTGAGTTAAAACATGGGTTCCTGTTCATCACAGGATTTTTAGCAAGAAATAGAACGATCAGAAGGAGTTGGTGGATGTGGAAAGTGAGAGAAAGGGAGGAGTCCATTATGATTCCTAAGTTCTGACTTGGAAGACTAAGTGTATGGTAATACCATTCACTGAGACAGGGAATCTAGAAAGAATAGCAAGTTTTGTGAAGAATAGAAGTAAATCAGTTTGGGAAATTTGAAATTTGAGGCATCAGTGGAATCTTTGGGTGGAGATGCCTGATAGGCTGCTGAGAAATGCTGGTGGGAAGCTCAGGAGAGAGGTCTTGGTTGGAACTAAACATTTGGGAGATATTACTATAATGTAGATGGTAATTAAATGACTGAAAAATTGATTAAACTTTACTTAGAGAGTTTTTTTTTTTTTTTTTTGAGACGAATTCTTACTCTGTCACCCAGGCTGGAGGTGCAATGGGACAATCGGCTCACTGCAACCTCCACCTCCCAGGTTCAAGCGGTTCTCTTTCCTCAGCCTCCTGAGTAGCTGAGATTACAGGCTCCTGCCACCACAGCTGGCTAATATTTTTGTAGTTTTAGTAGAGATGGGGTTTCACCATGTTGCGCAGGTTGGTCTCAAACTCCTGACCTCAAATAATTCACTCGCCTCAGCCTCCAAAAATGCTGAGATTACAAGCGTGAGACACGGTGCCTGGCCAATTTATAGAGTATTTAGAATAATAATTTTTAAAAAGACAAAGATTATGGAATCCTAGAAAATGATGATATTCAAGTAGCAGGTAGAAGAAGAGATGCCTTCCAAGGAAGCTGAGAAGGAATGGCCAAATAGATGAAACAAGAGAAAACAAAGTAGAATTACTGGCATATGTTACAGAGAGGTAAAGTAGCCAGACAGAAGAGTAATAAGAAATTACTCATTCGTCAGTTTAACAAGTGTTTATTGAGTACCTGTAATGTGCCAGACATTACTAGATGCTGGGAATAGAGAAGTAGAAAACACACAACATCCCTTCCATTTGGAGGTAATATTTTACTAGGGAGAAACCATCAACAAACAAGATAAATAATTAATATACATAGCTGTGATAAGTAATATTTCTTGTCACAGCTATGTATGTATGGCTATTTCTGTATGGTGATATACATATATACATATATATATAATAAGCTATACAGAAATGTTATATATAATATATATATACACAAATGTGTATATATATATATATAAACACAAATGTGTATATATATATATATATATTTGTATGTGTACATACAAAGGTGATACTCTTTGATCTGTTGTTGCATAATAAGATGAATTTGTGAACTAGTGGCTCAGGGTCAAATGAACTGGCTGGATTCAGAGATCGATTAGGAGGTCAAGGTTAGAGCTGTATCCAGAGCCAGTGTAAAGCTCAGGTCAAGACCAGGGTTCATGTGTATAATGTGGAGTGTATTTGGCTTCAATATGTTCTTAGGTTAAGATTTAGTAAGTCTGTAGCTATTTTTACAGGCTAATGTGGATTCATGATCAGAAGACTATCAAACCAAGTTTAGGGTTCAGCCTAATATCAATGTTAGGCCTCAGAGTTATAGCCATAGTTCAATCTGTGACACAGATTAAAGTGCGTCTCTGACCACTCTGGACTAACAGCAGCCTCAGGGTGTTAAAGCTGACTCTGAGGCTGTTGTAAGTCTAGAGTGGTCTGGTTTATGAAGTCAAGGTACAAGACTTGGGTTCAAATTTTGGCCAGAGTTAGGATTTAGTCTGTGTATAGGAAGAGGCCTCATTCTAAAATTAGAGTTAGGGCTCAGTCTGTGGACCAGACTTAGACCACACCCAGGGTTAGGACTCAGCTCAAGGTTTGACTTTAGTTTTTGGTCAATGTTGGAATCACTTTTATTTCTAGGCTTGAAAGTCAATAAGGGCCAGGACCATGGCTCTTCCTGGGATTAGTGTTCATGCTGATGATGTTGCCTAGGGAAAAAACAAGTACAACTATGAACAGGATTTATGTTCAGTCTTTCATCAGGTTAAGTTTCAATTTGTATTCATGGTTAAAGTTTATTCTAGGTCCAATAATTAGGTCTCAGTCTGTGGCCACTGGTAAGGCACAGTCAATGTCTAATATATAGTCTGTTGCCATGTTAAGATATTACCTGTCATGTGCCCTGGAGCCTTGTCTCAAACTAGAGTTCACATTTCATATATAGACAAGATTATGGTAGGGTTTGTGGCCAGGATTTCAATGATGAATATGAACAGGATTTGGGATGCATATTTGGCTAGAGTAAGTTCAAGGTGTGATTTCTGACCTTAGCCAGTGTCAGCATTCTGTCTTTATCCATAGCTCATATCAGGAATGTTCTTTGGAACTAACTCACAGTGGTCTGTGTTGGCCCTCATTCTGTGGCCGGAGCAGGGCTCAGTCAGTGACCTGAGTTAGCTATTTCAATTTGGCCACTATCAGGGTTGAGTCTGGAGGGAGTAGTTCCACTTTTACTTTATGTAACATTTGTGTCATTGAGTATTGGCGGTGGTACTATCTCATTAAACTTGTATCAGAGTTTGAGAGTTACCAATGACCAAGGTAAGGATTACTATGAAAAAGGTTTTACGATTAAGAGTGTAAACAGGTTTTTTGGATTAGCTGTTGATGTTATTTGTCAGTTTGTAGATAGCGTTGAGGTGAGAACAAACAACACGT